TGACTTCCTGCGACTGTTTCCGCAGCATGCTCTCAAGCACAGAGCACTTCACACGCGCCGTCAGTGCTGCTTCTCTCTCCTGAGTGCATTCTTCTTGGAGCTGTTGCAACTCCAAACGGAGTCTGCGGAGCTCCATCTCGTCGAGCTTCCGTTGCTCCAGTGCCACGCGCAGCACTGAGCTTTCTTGTGGTGTTTCTCCTGGGAACGCCACAGGCACTTCAGAAAATGGCTCTGGCTCTGGCTCATTTTCTTCCTCCACAACCACCTGCTTATGCTGCTGTATATTCTCAATCGTTTCTGGTTCAGACGGAAGCAAGGGCGAAGTGGGAATACTGCGGGCACGCTGCTCCTGTTGCTGCTGCTCAAGGTCATCGTCCATCGTTTGAACAGCAATGGTACGCATGTAAACATCCGCCGTCTGGCACCCCACCGCCACTGATACTGGCATCACCTGCGTCGCCCGGCTGCGTCCGCCACCGCTGCCACGCTTTTGCTCAATCACTCCGGCCGCCTTTTTCAGCAGTGCATACCGCGCCTCTCGCTCCTTCGCGTCCTCGTCAACCGACGAAATTCGTTGCGTTAATCTGGCCGCCTCCGCCTGCATCTCCTCCAGCGTACGGCGCCACTCACTGTGCACCTCTTCTACTTCATTCTCGTGTTGCTCGACGAGATCGTCTACTTGGCACCTGTACGCCACGTACGCGTCCTGAGCCTCTTCCTCGAAGGCGGCAAGCAACGCCTCGCGGTCGTTGCGCCACACACGGAATTGTGCAGCCGCGTTCTCGAGGAACACACCGTGCTGCAAGAGCATCATGCCCTGCAGGTGACGCTGCAAGGCCAGCGCGAAGGCGGGGACGGCGGCTAGCACCCTCTCCACCTCGTCGGTGTATGCGCGCGCGTCACGCAGGATCTCAAGGCACTGCTCGAGGTCGCGTGTGAGCGAGGCGTTGGCACGCTCCAGTGCGAGAATCGTCGTGGAGCACGTCGCCCCTGCGGTTGCCACCACAACTGCTGCACCGTCGCGCCCCGCCCAGGGAGAGCCATGGTGGCACGAGTACCTCATTTCCCGCACTTCAGCAGGAGGCGGGGTTGTCTGCTGCTCTTCCAAGGGGCGTAAAGGGTGAAACCGGAAGCAAAAGCTTGAGAATGATAAAGCAGCATGGAACAAAAGTCAATGAAAAGCAGACGACTCGTGTTTCGCCCCCAAAACAAACTCACTAAAAAAAAAGTAATATTCCAGCAACAATAGTGAAATTACAACTCCAGAATTCAGCAACCACCCGCCCACCCGTAGACATACACACGCACAAACACACAGAGAAACATAGACACCAGGAAATATGCACACGAAACGACAAATAACCGTCTGCACCATCAATCAATTATGATAACATCGACACCATTTTTACCACTATTGTCTTTACTAGACTGCCTCACTGTTTTTGGTGGAGTCAAGCATACCACAACATCATCATCGTCACTGTCATTGTCCCCTTCGTCGTCTTTTTCNGACTGCCTCACTGTTTTTGGTGGAGTCAAGCATACCACAACATCATCATCGTCACTGTCATTGTCCCCTTCGTCGTCTTTTTCCTGGGACACAACAACCACCTCAATACCGCTGCTGGCCCTCATTCCGTCTTCTTCTCTCTCGCGCTTCACCCCACAGGTGGTGGCCTGCGGCCCACTGACGTCATCACTGCAGTACTGCGAGAGGGACCGCTGCATGCCGCTGCGGTGCTGCTTCTCGCGGTTTGTGTACTCCTCCTTCATGATGATGCCAGTCAGCCGCACGCCCAACAGGCGCAAGAGGGCGTACTGGTCTACAATCGGAAGCAGCAACTCCTCCACGGCACGCCGGAGAACGCCGAAATCATCAGTGTACTGCGGTAAATTCTTCGTGAACTGCTGTACCTGAAAGCTAGTGCGCTTTATTTTGAGCACAACCTGGCGACACACCATTCCCTCTTCCAACAGCCCACTCTGCGCTGCCTCCAGGTTCGACATAGCAGTCTGCTTTAGATCTGACCGGCTCTGGAGGTTGAGAAAGGTGCGCTCCTGACCGATCGATTTCCGAACCTCCTCGGTGGCACGATCGGCGCCACTGTCAGTGCTGTTCGCAGTTGCTGCATCAAGCCAGCCGCTCAACCCGAGGGAGGAGCCGAG